GATTATCTCCTTTCTCTGTACTCCCAATAATACTGAACTTAGTAACCTTCCATGACATTCATATCTGTTTTTCTTTAAATTCCATATTAGAGTTATGTATAATATGTTTATTTCTTTATTAAATTGTAATTATTGGGTCATCAGCAAAGTCATGACACATTTTTTTTTTTGCATAGAAAAACATAGGAAAATACATCATGACTTTCCCAGTGACCTAATATATCAAATGTATATGATATTTGATCAAAATTTAGTTCTCTATATTTTTAAGCTTGTATCATGAATGTGAGGTACCCAACAGAATGGTGTAAAGCCAGTAGGAACTAATAAATACTTGTTGAAGGAGTATATCAATTGAACATCCATCACAACTAATAGAACTATTTTGAAACTTCGGTTAACATTGAGTTTTCTTATTCGAATCAATGAACAGAAAGTGACCACTAGATAATGTTATTGACAAGGGTTTTACATTGGGCTTCTGCTACACATGGTTCTTGGCAAAGCTGAAGCTTTGTTTTCCATAAAGACAGCAACTTCACCACCGTGCGGTATGGCAATTTTAAATGGTCAGGAGAAAAGGCCCAGGAAGGGCTCAGATTTGGTTCTCTCATATGTTCCATGATAACAAACAATACCTTGTGGGGAATAGCAGATGGCATCATGGTTATGTCACTGGACTCCCATGTTCTTGACTGCAGTTTGAGTCCCAGACCTGGCTGCTTAAAACTCACACTGGGCATGTGTGCACGCATGCCCAAAATTCGAAGAGAAGAATGGGGGAGAAGGGATTGCGGTGTAATCATCCCCCTTGGGAGGTGATTTCTTGCTTTCTATCCCTCTGTCTCTCCTGCAAGTGCTTGCAACCTCTAGCAAAAATTTCTCTCGAAAACAAAACAAAAAAACAATACCTTGGACAAAAGTTGCTCTTACAAAATTGGCCCAAAAACATCCTTTGTAAAAATATGAGCACACCTTTCTCTTTTTGTGTCATTTTAAAGGTTAATTGTTGTCAAATCTCAGTTGTTCTAGTATTTAATTTATATAAGAAATTATATACACTTGGATATTCTCATAAGATTGCTTTAGAAATACACATGGATGGGCTAGCCCTGTGGTTCAGCGGTTAAGTGCTGTGCATTGAAGGCAAGATCCTGGGACCCTCAGTTAGCATAATGGCTATGTCGCGGGACTCCCATGTAGTCGACTGTGGTTTGAGTCCCGGACCTGGTGGCTTAAAACTCAAGCCGGGCGCTTGTGCATGCGTGCCCAAGATCCAGAGAGGAGAATGGAGGAGAAGGGATTGCTGTGTGGCCATCCCCCCTGGGGGGTGATTTCTGTCTTTTTGTCTTTGTCTTTCTAGTGAGTATACACACCCTAGAGCAAAACCCTTCAAAAAAAAAAGAGAAAGAAAAGAAAGAGAAAAAGGAAAACGTGCCGGGTCCATGCGTGTGAATGCCTAAGATCCTGATGAGATGGGGGAAAAGGATTTCAGCGTGGTCAAGCCCCATTCGGGGTGTTTCTC